CGGTGGGACCCGGTGGGACCCGGTGGGACACGGTGGGACACGGTGGGACACGGTGGGACCCGGTGGGACCCGGTGGGACCCGGTGGGACCCGGTGGGACACGGTGGGACACGGAAGCGGCGGCCCCGCCCCTCGAAAGACGCGGCGGGTGCTGCTCGGGGCCGGTTACCGCATCGGCGCCCACCGGCTCAAGAACGAAGCTTTAAAACCTCGTTACGCTGCAGCTGCACAGTTCGCCGTCATCTGCCCAAAGCTGCTGAGAAAGAAAGCTGGACCAGCAAAAATCCTGAAGGCAGACGGTTTTTGGCTTCCCTCACCTCCCAYGTACCCTGCCAGGAACACAGGTGTGCCCACAGTAGTGGCCCTGTCTGAAAACAACAGGCTTTGCTTTTCCCTTACCTGCGCGTCTGCAGTGCTGCCCAACAGCCACAGACAAAATAGCTATTCCCACAGGGTCTCTCGTTTTGACTAGGGAACAGCTTCTCACCTTTTTTGCCTTTATCTTAGTCCAGAACCAAAACAATACCCATCTTATCCACCTGTAATAGCCTTTTAGCTTCAGGACAGGTTGGCAGGGTCTTCAGGAGAGGAACACAGCAGAAAGCCCCACCCTCCATATCAACCAGACATCCAGTTTGTCACTGCACAGTGTTAACGGCAAAGTGCAAAAGTTTATTAAAAAAGGAGATGAAACCTTATATAAAAAACCATAAACACGAACCAACCAGTCCATACAGAAACTTTCATTTTCCAGGTGCCTCTTAAAATATGTACTCCAAGATATGCTCCCACGGCGGAGTTGCTTGATGGTCTTAAAGCATGACAGCAGTTCCTGCTTTCTCTGAGACTCTCCTAACCCTTCCCTTTCTCCAGATCATGCAAGGACTTGTGCTGCCAGGAAACGAAGCACCTTCTTTCTCCCCTTTGTGCTGTAAGAACCAATTCCCCAGTGTCAAGCCAGAAGCATCACTCCTCTCCAGGTTAAGGCCAAAGCACTCAGTTCCAGGAGCCTGAGAAGCCAGAACAGTTTTGCCATTTGCCATAATGAAATGAAATCCTCTTGCAATACTGGCCACAACATCTTCAGCTAAGTGTTGAAGTTCACAGTGAAGAAGCACAGATGTTGACACCTGATCACCCATTCGCCCTTCCCCTACCACTCAGTCTTGTAAAAGTTTAACCACAGGTAAAGCCCAGCTGTGCTACCAGGATATGGACAGTGCTGCCACCAAAGTCCCTTGGTACAGCTGTTTTTGTCTATGCCAAATGCGTATCTACTGCCCACCAATACAGCAAGAGCCACAGCAGGGAGGGTAAATGAGCCAGAGAGGGCCCTGTCAGACTCTGCTTCCATCTGTAAAGACTGGGTGAAAAAGCACAAGTGGGTAGCATCTGGTGTTTCCAGCAGTTTCAGGATCCCACAAGCAAAGCAAATTGCTCTGGCCCACAGGGAACTGTAAACACTCCTGGCACCTTCGATCTCTATGAACAGCCCTGGCATCCAAACAGAAGGTGCAGCAGAACCCCCCAGGGAMCATAGAAACCCCCCAGTAACCAGTAAACCCCTGCACCAACAGGCTGTGGCAGTGCAGGGGAAAAGGCATCATAGACGCAGACCCATGAGCCTGGATGGTTGCTTCCTCCTCTCCTTTATGTTGTCAGGAGGATGATTTCTGAACAGCAACAGCAATTTTCTGTTTGCAAGCCTTTGTGTCATTCCACTCTGAGAAAACCACCTCATTTAGGAAGGTGTTGTACCTGAGTTACTCACCCTTTCCCTGCCAGCAGGTAATTGGATCCTTTATGTCACACTTTCACCTCCTAGAACTGTGGGCTCCCAAGGGAGATCCCTGCACATACACCATGATGGCATTCTGCAAGAAACTTGCTCGCTGGGCCTCCTCTTCCCTCATCCTGGAGATCTCGGCCTCTTTCATTCTCAGCTTCTCCAGCAGCAGAGAGATCTCACCTTCTTTGTCCAGCAGTGCTTCACGGTGATTACTGGACAGGGCTGTGAAAAAGCAGCATTAGTAAAGAAAACCAGGACATCCCTAGAATAAGTAATAACAACAGGCCAAAGGCAATGAAGTGGGATGGTCAACAGACACACAAGACAAGCTGCATGGGACAACATGAGAGATTTTGCTCAGACAGAATGCACAGTTCACTGTGCAGGAAATCCAAACACTGTGCTTGCTGTGCAGCTTTGGCTCATCATCTGAGTCTTGGTCTCTATAAAATGAGAAATGTAAATACACCAGGATGCAGAGTACAACTCATAGGTGTATGCACAGGTAGGAAGCATTACCCGTGAGCTCAGCTCAGGTCCAGGCCCAATGCAGGATAACTCAACATTACCATTTGAGAAGCATGAAAGGATCCATCACCTTTCAGTTGTCTTTCCAGAGCTGCAATCTTCTCTCTCAGCCCATCCTGTGCTGCRCGTTCAGCCTCCAGGTGCCCAATCTGCTCCTGCAATTCCACTTTCACCTTATTTAGCTCTGCCACTTTCTCCTCTTCCTTACTGTCAAGGTCCTGACACACAAAGACAAATCCATGAACAACCAAACAACTTCAACAACTTGTTCTGCCCGGGGTTACTCTCTCCTCCAGTTCGAATTACCTGCTGAAGTTCATCCAGCCGCCTCCTGAGTCCATCAGCATACAGGYTCAACTGTTTGGCTTTAGCCTGGGCCTCAGCAACCATTTCTTTTTGCTTAAGGCAGCAGTTCTGAGCTTCGTCCCTCGACTCAGTCATCAACCGCAGCTTCTCTTTTAGGTGTTCTAGTCGCTGCTGCTGTAAGACACAAAAAAATGAAAATAACAATCCCACTCCATTCCTGCGAAGGGATTCTCCCCTCTTTGTTCCTAATACAGTGAGCCCTTTATTGAGTCAACTGGCTCAGAAGAACAAACACAGGACACAGGCCTGCTCCTTCCATTCAGGAGTGACCCCAAGCTGCTCCCTCTTGACAGGGAGAGCACTGAAACGCTCAACTGACTGAGAAACAGAGACAGGTCCTTGGCAGATGCACCAAGTGTTTACAGTCAGGGTCTACCTTCACTTCCTACATACCTCAAATGGCTCTGCTGCACCACTGTAAGGAGCTAAGCATGTGCTGGGTCCCACATATGCAATTCCTATGTCTGTAACTCAGCGAAGCATCTTGTGATGTTGCAAATAAGTAAATGTTCTAATAGCTTTTGCATATTTTACTCATCCCTTGTTCTCTTTCACAGGATATTAACTTCATTGCTATTTTTATGGAGTTCAATACTACAGTGACTTTATTTAGCCAGCAGCAGTAGTCACCTGAGGAACTTTCTCAGAGTTCAGAGAAACAGGAACACCCCATGAAAGTTGCCATTGAACAGAAGGATAAACATCTGGTTGGTGGCTTCAGAAGTTGGCAACCTAAATCTGCCATGACAACATCCACATTGGTTCTGTTGCTACTGAAGAAAATTCAAATCAGATTTTTCAGGGCTCCTTCCTCAGCAATCGCACCCATTTGCAGCTCAGTGAAACAGAGAAAGAGGACTTACTTAGCAGCTCCCCAAGACTAAAACACAGGCTTGGTCGGCAAACCACTGTCTTCCCACAGGGGCAGGGCCCACAGCCAGGTCTTGTCCTTACCTCCTCCAAGCGTGCCTGACTCCGGACCTTCATTAACTCCTCTTCTGCCTGTCCTCGCTCACTGAGGGCAGCTGCTTTTACTTGGCTCAGCTCCTGCCACGGAAACATGAGAAATCATTCCAGACAGAGAAGCTGCATTGCTGCAAAACTGACCAGAAAACATCAGCAGCTTCCAGTTGCAGGCTGCAATATGACACAGCTCTCCTCATTTGGGCAGCAAAACAAACCAAGATGATAAACCTTTCTTCACTCCAACACTGCTATCTAAATTCAATGTGAATTTCAGTTATATGAGAGGAAGTAATGGGTAAAGCCTTCCAAAACAAGGGAATAGGAGAGACCAGTGCTGGATGTAGCTAGGGAAATAGGTATGGAGAAACATGCTACATTTCTTTGGACAACATGGGAAACCTGTAAAGTCAGATCTTGGTAAGACTAACCATGTTCACTTCACAAAACTTCCTGGGCAGCCTTCTCTTCACACCGCTATGTAAGTATTCAAATGCACCTTTTCTCACCTCCTCCAGAGATATCCTGATGGCCTCCAGCCTCTGGATCCTGTTCTGCATGGAATGCTCACTGGCCTCCATGTGCTGTGTCATACGATCCACCTGCAAAGCAGTAGAAACCATTTGGTCAAGTGACAGACAACCCTTCCCATCTCCAGGCATAGCAGCAGGACCAATTATCATGGGAGCAAAGCATCCTCTCATTGACCCACTCACCACCAAAGAAACATTCTTACCTCTCCCAGAACTCCACTAGTAAACTGTAATAGAGATAGCATCTGCCCTCTAGAAACCAGGAATTTTAAGACAGAGAATTCTCCCAGGCCACAAGGAAGATACAGAGTCCAGGCTCTCCTTGTCAAGTGATACAAAATACAAGAGATTGATTTTCTAGAAGCAATGTTGCTAAAATCTTCCTGGCCTGTGTCTTATCTTAAAAGATYTCAATATCTTCAGAGAAATCTATTAGTATTATTTATTTTGGAGAGATTTCAAGCCTCAGTAAACACTGAAAAGAGAACTGATTTGGCCTGTCCACACTCAGACACAACTCCCCTTGGAACTAGCCTGCTGAGCTGTTAAAGGATCACATGTGTGTAAGTTATTAAAACTAAAATGTATTTATTTCATAAGCAGGAAAAGATCCCTTATTTGTACTACTTCTGTGCACAGACCAACACAAAGGCCATYTTCACAGCCTCTCTTGKAGCATAACATACCACTCTGGCCCATACTCATGAAAGCTAGAAAATCTTACTAGCTGGTAGAAAGTCTTGTGATCTCTTCAGCCAAGGTTTGCTTGAAAAAATGGCTTATTATTCTCACAATAAATCTGAGCCCACTAACCTTTTCAAGTTTTTGAAGAGCACCTGACAGTAAAAATAATTTCCAGTGGTGAAGCATGTTAGGACAAAAGAAAGACTAACCAGGATGCTGCAGAAACCCCATCCTTACCTCTTTTACCCGAAGGGATTCCACRTCTTCAAGGCTTTGTTTAAATCTTCTCTTCTCCATTTCCAGACGTTCTACAGATTAACAGCAGGCAGATCACAGCTCTGGCATTCCTGCCACAGAGCCTATATTCATACTTGATCACATTCTCTGCCAGCCTTTTCTCCTGGGCTGCCTGTGCCACTGACTCAGGAGCAGCCATCCCCCCCACAGGTGTCCCCAAGCTGCTCCCACTGCTGCACTCACCTTCAGCCTGCACAGCCCGCAGCTTCAGTTCTGCCGTTGTACTCGTCAAGTCTTGTTTTACCTGGAACAGCTGATCCTGCTGAACTTTGCACTTCCTTTCCAACTCATCCACCTACAAGGAAATTACCATCACAAAGCTTTTTCTTTTCCTATTAGCAGAGAAAGTTGGCTGTACAGGACAATGAGGGGACACAACCAAGGACCAAAGCAGAAAATATGTATGGAACAGATGCTACATATGTCCAAGAGTCACTTCTCAGACTTGGACTTGGGTTCCTACCTGGTTTCTCAGCAGCAGATTTTTCTCATCAGCGGCAGACAAGTCATGCAGAAGCTTCCCTTCCCGATCAGCACTTTCCTGCAAACAGAATCAAAATAAAAAACCTGTACTCACCCTAGTTCTTGCACTACCAACCTACACTAACCAACCTCACACCCAGCTAACTCAAATCTACCCCATAAACACCATGGCTCCTCTTCACAACTGGCACTCATCTATCTAATTTACAYGATAATTTTTGTCACAGTGGCTTCAGTTAACCAACTAGTACTAAAAATCATGTTTTCCCATTCTATCCAGTATCCCCTAAATCTACACAAACCCGCTATGACCTATAGCCCTGCTCTCAAATGTAACTAGGACTTATCCAGCTCACCTGCTTTTGTTGCTGGAGTTGCTTGAAGTGGCACTCAGCCACACTGTTCTGTTCCTGTTTCATGGCATTCAGCAGCTCTCCCAAGTTGTGCACCTTCTGCTCAGACAGAGCCAGGGCAGCTTCAGTCATCTGCAGCCTATAAAGAGAAGCACTTCAGGGAGTCTTTTCCAAGGCAAACACTGCAGCGAGCTCATTCTGCTACCAGGTACAAATTGCTAATGTCCATCTGGCAGTGGAGGGAATCAGGCTAATGAGGCATTTTTTTGCTCCTGGGAAAAGGACACCACTGACCTCTGTACACAGCAGCATCTGCAAACAATAACCATGGACTTCTCAGAGCCCACTGTTCTGGTATCCATTGCCTTTGCCCTGCATTGTCTTCCATGAGTCATTTTCCCCACCCATACCCCTCCAGGATTTGCCTGCTCTCCCCAAACAAAGCTAGCTATTTTACACCACTGCAAGGTTGTTCAAAATCAGAGACAGAATTTTACATACGTGTAGCAGAAGCAATTTGCTTATTCTGTGAAAGTGGGATGTGCACACCACTGCATAGCATAGTAATACTGCCTTTACCTGGGAGAATAAACTAGCCAGGCTCAGCAGTGTTTAAGTCTAACCACTGCCACATTGATATGGCTCTGCAAAACCTAACACTTCTTTTGAGCAACCTCTCCTCACTGTTCCCAGGCCAGGCTCCTCCATACCTGCAGAGGTTCTCAGACAATAYTGTCAGCTGCCAGGGGAAAAGGCTACAGATTCTTGCCAGGCTGTAAACYGTGCAAGGAACATGCCCCCATCCCATCTGCACAGTCCATTCTCTTTCTTCCCACCCTCTGTTATTCACTTGCTCTTACACCAATGCACTATAACTTTATTTAAAAGCAGGCTAAGTATCTAGCTTGGCAAACTCAAAGGCTCAATCTGAGTGCAATTTCTGGATATTACTGCAGAACTAAGGAAAACAGTAAGCCAGTGGCCCTACAAGATTATCCCCCTTATTAGAAGCTCTGCTTGGCACTGCATGTACAGCACAAACAGTGGGAAGGCAAATGTTTTTCTCCATACTTGGTTTTCAAAGAATTCATAATGGAGTACTGTTCATCCAATGCTTCCTGTAGCTGGCTGACTCGTGCTGCAGACGTTCTGCATTTGGGAGTGGAAAAGGAAAAAAAAAATAAGGTGGGTAGCTCCTGCCAGAAAACAGAGAGGCCTCAATTTCTGCCACCAAWGAGCAGAAAACACTTAGAAATCCAACTCACCTTTCACTCCTGGCTTTTTCTTCTTTCTGCTTGTCTACAGTGTCCACAAAATCCATGAACTGTGAACAAGGAAAAATTCAGTGAGAAAATGAACTGCATCAGCTACAAGCATTTGCATTTCTCCTCTTCCCCTTCCCAGGAACAGGTGAAGACATGTCAGGCCACTCTAYTGGAAGCAAACTGGAGGCGTGATGGGTTTATTAGCACATCTGAATGAAGCCATCAGCTGTAGGAAYTCTGCATCCTGAGGTGTCAAGATGGAAAACAGACTCAGATCTCTAGGTTTACACAACTTGGAAAATATCAAACCAATTGCAAAAGGAAAAAACAAAAGCACAAACAAACTCCTGCAGAATCCAGAGTGACAATGTTCAGCAGGGATGTGTCCATACCTACACTATCACTTGACTCCCAGGCAACACAGGCCAGAKGAAGGACCCAATGTACTTTAACCACGCCATGTGCCTGACCATAAAAACGCACATGCAACTTCAGATGCACAATAATACCATCACTGAGTGTTCTGTGGGGACCTCAGGGGAAAGCAAAGGATTCTATCCACCCCACTTGAACTGCCAGCATCTGCTGACCTGCTTGTTCTTCTCATCCTTCAGACTCAAAAGCTCCTTGCTGAGGATGTTCACTTGGTTCTGGGCCTCAYTCAGGATAGCCTCACGGTCTTGGTTGTGATCCAAGGCTTGTTCTGATGCAGAGAGAGCAGGAGAGCATGCCTAAGTTTCTAAAGCATGTTCTGCAAACAGAACAGCAAGCACTGCAGGAAGAGCCAGCACTCAGCATGACACCTGGCTATCAGAAGCACCAGGACAGTTGCCCTCCTCAGGCTGGCCCACGTAGAGAGACTCTCATCACAAGGTGGAATGGGATCAAAGAGAGAGCACTGTGTGTGGGGTAATCARCAGCCCAGCCTCAGCAGACCTGTCCAACTCTGCTGTGGGCAGCACAATGACACAGGGTGTGCTGTGGAAGCCACATCAAAACCAGGCTTGTCAGAGGCAAACTAGGAAGAAAAGTCTCAAGTTCTCCCACACTCATGTGGCACAGCAGTCTCTAATAGCTGAATTTAAATTATTTTTTTGCTCTTGCTGGTGAAAGTGATGCTTCCAGCTTGACTAGCCCTCACTGATGGACAAGAGGAAGCGACACAGGGCACTGTGAAAATGCTRTTGATAAAGGGAGGGAAGGAGGGTTAGCTCTCTTCTGGAGCCGCAGCTGCCCTACATCCCTGCAAGTGCTCAACTGGGAAATGATTTAAGTGATCCACTGCTGCACAAGACATCATACTTACCCACAGCTTTCAGGATGTCACCAGGAACRTTGTTCCCTGCAAGCTCCAGCCTCTTCAGGGTCTTGTTGCTGTGCAGGCAGTTCAGCAAAGCTCGACCACCAAGAAGCCCAATGTTATTCCATCGCAAATCTACACAGAAGGCACACTTTCATCACGGTAGTCATACATCTGAAAAATGCAGGGGTCAAAAGAACCTATGCTCTTTATATATCTACAAGCAYGATTAACTAATCCCAGCTGGTCTTAGCATAAACACAGGTGAATATTGTGATCCCTTTTAAGAGAGGGAGGGAAGGTGACAAAGCAGGAAAGGCAAGGATAAATCTTGAATAAACTGCAGGAAGCCATGACAATTGAAAATCTACACAAGTCTGCCTCTCCCATTTGGCCCTCATGAGCCTTCCTTCCACAGTCAGAATCTGTGTGGCAACAAAAGCCACATTCTCCTGAAGGAAATTCCATCAAAATTCCATGTAAGGACAAAGCAAGTGTGAAGTAAGTATTAAGAATATGTCATGAGGCATGMCAACAGAAACCACAAACAGGAATGAAAACACTTCCTCCTCCACTAAAAACTGCTCTGCTTCAAGTACRTAATTCTTCTCTGCACATCTGGTTCCAAAGATTCCAGTTACAGTTCCCATTCTCCAAAGGCCATAGGATTGTGACTTCTCCTTGCAGAAAACCCGCAAAGCACACCAGACTGACAGGAACTGGGAATGACACCAACCAGTTGGAATAAACTGGGGCAAGTTGAAAGGAACCTGAAGATACAGGTGTGTGTTTGCATGCATATCTGTACATGGGCAAAGAACTCTTACCCAGCTCCTGAAGGCTGGCATTTTGTGTCAGTGCCATGGCCAGCTCTCCAGCCCCTTGGTGGTTAATCTGGTTATTGCGCAGATCCAGCTGCTGAAGACAGTTGTTTGCTCTCAGTCCTTGGCAGAAAAAAGAGAAGCCCTCCTCCCACAGGCCAAGGCTGTTCCATTCTAAGGTTAGGCTAGGGAAATCAGACAGGATTGCTGTTAGAGTAAAGACAGCTGCATGAGCTTGAATGATACATGGATCACAGTATATCTTGTCAAACATCCAGCTCTGAGCAGATTTGGTCTCAGAGAGCAGGATGCTGCCAGGGCCCAGCATCCTCCGAAAGAACACCAGTAGTTCTCATGTCTTTGCCTGTCCCACTTCTCACAMGAAATTGCACCACTCGGCATTCCTCCTACCCCAACAAAAAACACCCTTAACCCTTTTCAATTGTTGTGCTCTATCGGGCAGGAACAGCACAAAGAGACGCAGATACTTTTTTTTACCTCCTGATGGATTTGTTCTGCCTAAGAAGTTTTCCCAAAGCCTCAGCTCCCTCGGTTCGTAGGTTATTTCCCTGAAAAGAAGTTTCAGGAGATCAGCAGGCTAAGTCTGTCCCAGTCCACCTAGACCATCAAACACCACGAGATGCACCCCAGCTGTAATGCCAATTTCAGTCAGCAAAGATGGTCCAATCACCATTTGTTTCACATTATTTTCCACAAAATGAAAAAACCTGGAGGAACAGTGGATCCATACACACCACTGGTCTTGTTAAGGCACCATGACTGAGAGCTTGCAAAAATTCAAGATAGCACAGRATCAGCATGGGCCACACACAATGGGACAGATTCCAGACAAGAMCAATTATTTTAACATACTTCRTTAAAAAGGGGTCTGTTAACACTARCACAAGTAAGAAATGTGTGATACAGTTGTGACTGTGATGCGAATTTCCAGTTTGTAACTRTAAATTCAAAGGAATGGCTGTAGGTCAGAGGAACATGGATAGAAAGTCACTCTCAGGAGGCAGATAGYTCAAATCCCTCACGGGTCGATAGATACTGGCAAGCTAGATAAACTCTATAGAAACACAAGCAAAATAGCTGGTAACTCACCGATCAATACAGAAACCCTAAAAAAAGTCTACATGTGCCTCATCTGCCCAAGCAGCAATTGACAAAAGATATAAAGCAATAACTTCCTATGAAAATAGAGTAACTGAATAAAAATGGATAATGATGATCTACAAAGAAACTTTGGAAAATTGTGACATAATGTTAATGAGTCAAGCAATGAGTCACCTGAGAACAAAAACTTTATAGGCGCATACATCTTATTGAACAACCTTGCACAGGACCGTTCAGTTCTAATTCTGACTAAGCCTGTGCTCCTTTTTTCCCTTCATCACAGAACAGTCTTAATTCTATTTGAACAGACTCACCTTCAGATCCAAAGATTTGACTGTGGTGTTGGAGCAAAGACCATGCAACAAAAGTCTTACACCTGAGTAGAAGAAAAAAAAAAAAAAAAAAAAAAAAAAAAAAAAAAAAAAAAAAAAAGCTGTTTATTTCATCCGTGAAACCCTCTGCCTAAACCGGCAGCGTATCATCCCAGTGTATCATCCTGTCAAACAGCCAGCTCAGGAGACACGGCTGCGATAAACAAATGACTTGGTAGACTGCCACTGCTGCTGGAAAATGTGAGCCTGAGCTTTCAGGGCAGAAAACTATATATTCTCGAAAARGTGTCCGGACGGAGAACTACCTGTCAGCCTGTACACCCACCTGAGTCAGCCCACGCCTGCACAGGCTCTGCGGACACTGATGTGCTGCCCACGGAGCCCACTCACCGCCGGCTACTTTACCCATTCCGACTGTCCCGTCCGTCCAGGGCCAACAAAAGTGCCGTATCCTCCAAGACGGAGGGAGAACCACCCGCACGCTCATGGACCGGGCACTTTGGGCACCCCGAGACACGGGCGCCCTCCCTGCCCGCCCCGCCCCGGCCTGAAACGGCTCCGAGGGCGGCCCGGAGCGCACCTTCCTCGCTCAAGCCGCAGTCGCCGAGGGCCAGCGCGGCCAAGGGCGCGGCGCCGGGGAGCAGCCGGGCCAGGGCAGCGCACGTCTGCAGGGAGAGGCTGTGCCCCGCCAGCTCCAGGCGGCCCCGCGGCCCGGGCAGCTCCCGCAGGCGCCGCAGCACCGCCTCCTGAGGGGCCGCGCAGAGCCGCGCGTACTCGCGCTCCAGGCGCTCCATGGCCCCGCCGGAACTGCCCCTGGAGCCGCCGCCTCGCCCCGGAACCGCTCGCTGAGGGCGGGCCGGGCGCTGCGCGGAACATGGAGCGGCGGGACGGCCGCGCCGGGGGCTTCAGGAAGGTGCGGCCGCTGCGGGCGAGGGGCGCTGCCCTGGGCAGTGGGCGCGGCCCCGCTCATCCGTTCCTCTCTCCRCGCAGGACACCGTGGAGCGGCTTCTCCGCCTGCACTTCCAGGACGGGAGGATCCGAGGTATGGAGACGGCGAGGGCGGGCGGAGCCGGGTGGTTCGGAGCGAGGCCCCGCTTCCCCTGACCGCCTTGTCGTTGCAGTCAGCGCCGACGCACAGCTGCTGCTGGCCGAGTTGCTGAAGGTGTTCGTCCGAGGTGAGCGCCCAGGGCCRCCCCACGGCGAGGGGCTCCGGCTCCTCCCCAAGTACTTGGCTGGCCCTCGACTCATCCCCTCGTGCTTCAGCTCYGCTGCCTCCTGCACAGCTGAGGTCCTGAGCCAGCTCTCCGGACTCACCCGGGGCGCTGGGCCACCTCCCTCCTCCCGGGAAAGCAGCCTGGCACCCGGGCAGGACGCGCCCGTGGCAGAGCCCTGACCCCACTCGTGCCCTTGTCTTTCATTGTGCTGCAGAAGCGGCAGCGCGGGCAGCGCGGCAGGCTCGGGCAGAAAACCTCAACAAGGTGGATACGGACCAGCTGGAGAAGGTGTTGCCGCAGCTGGTATGTAACAGTGGGCCTGAACTGCAGTGGGAGCAGGATGACTATGTGTGCTGAAAAGCCTAATCCTCATCCTCTTGGGAGGTGGTTTGGGAACCTAACCTGTGTGTTGACTAGCTTGCTGCTCTCTCCTTACAGCTTCTAGATTTCTAGAGGCCTCTTGAMGCATATGTCGCCTGTCAACAGAGAGTCCTGAGCGGACAGCAAATGTGTCTCAGCCTCAGAATCCAGTGCTGGGACAAAAAGTTTMAATTTTCTCTTCCTCTGCCATTTTGCTTGTTTCCTCTCTCCTTTACCAAGCACAACGCAGTCCACAGCAACGATGCTGTCAGATGCTGTTTTTGAGAAAAGGCTACCACAGGCTTGTTTTGTTCCACTAAGTGCGTAACTGGTTTCCATTTTCCTACCTTACTTCTGAAACAGTGGCATGTACTTCACAGCACGGTAAAGGTAGTGTTGCTTTCTCAGCTAAAGTGAGAAAGAGATGTTGCTTCACAGAGATGGGTGGAAGGATTTAATGGCTGGAAATACCATCCAGTTTTCAGCTGTGACGGCAATTCCAGGTGCAAATGCAAACCTTTCTAATTAATGGGTCATAAACAGGAGCTCAGTCACAGGCTCTTGCCAAGAGCAGGTAACTGATCTTTATTTTATAAATAAACAGTGTATATCCCTCACTACCTTCCTGTATTTCTGCAGGGCTGTGACATCAAAGCATGCTTAGAACCTTTTAACCATTCAATATTCTGAGAGGCTGCTCCTCCTCTGCTATAAATTTGTTCTCACAAAGAAACATCAATAAGTTAAAAMCGGGTCTCTCCTCCTTGTGTACACTCTTTGCTGCAATTAATCATCAAAAGTCAAGTTACTTCAAAGACTTGCAGAGTTTCCCCCTTACCCACCCTCTTCCCTAAATCTTTGTAAGACGAAAGGAAAAAAGGACAAAATAACAAACAGCATGTGTGAGAATCCCACATCACGGGACAGCCTGGCCCCTCTGGCAGCAGGGGGGCCACTGTGAAATAAGAAACCTTACACATGTGGGCAGGACCCAACAACCCCACTGGCTTTAGGAGGAAAAGCGTGGCCAGCWGCACGGAGCACAGCTGATGGCAGCGTGGCTCAGGGCCTGCCCGCTGGTGCCGCTGGCTCTGGGGGCTGTAAGATCAGCAATTGGGAGCAGTCCTTTGCTCACAACAGCTGTGACAGACACAGGCTCAGGAGGTCACTSTGCACGTTGAGCCAGGAGCTATCAGGGTCATCGCTCAGGACACCAGCCACTTGGGAACCTCACCAAAACCACAGTTTTAATACGCRTTCTGGTGACAGTCCCCAGTCCTCTGCACTGCAGCTTCTCAGCCAAGACAACTGTTCAGCTGCACAACACACGCAATGAAGGAACTGACCTAGTTCAGCCTTCAGCCCCACAACCATTGCTAAAAAAAAGGGCASTAGCAAAAAAAAGGCAAGTAATGCTACCTTTGAATGTCCTACAATCCCAGGAATGAGTTCAGCTACTATAGCAGAAGTGATACTGGAACAAATCCAGCTCATCAGGTGTCTCCAGGTTCTGTGGCAGGGCAGGAACCCTTGTAGCAAGTACCTTCCTTAGTGAAGAGCCCAGAATATTAGATGTCAGGGCATCTTGTCCCCCATAAAGAATTCAAAYCTACTTTCTTGCCTTTTCCAGATTCCAGATCCTCATCTCTGACTCCTATGGAAACAGCAGTCCCAAAGCTGTTGCTCTGAAAAGCAGTCTTGATCCTAAAAAAGGTTCGAGTTCCCTAACACACACAAGCACTGACTGAAGAAAAGTGCTGGTGTGGAGATCCATAGTAAAGTAGTAATTGAATAGCAGCAGCAGCTAAATGTAACTTTGTATAGGAAAGGGGAATAAGACTTCTTGTCTAGCTACTGAAGATAGCAAATTTTCATTCTTGTGGTTCAATGTGGCTTGATTCACAGCTGTATTACACAAGGGACAAGCACGGGCAGAACTGCCTGAGGAAACACAGTCAGCARTGTGAAGCCCCTACACTTAAAATTGCCCCAGGAATACTGACATTACTGCTTGTGTCCCTAAACTCATTTTCCCACGTCAGGTACTTGCAGGGGATAGTTACGGTGCTAGCCTTTTACAAAAAATGACACAATTGAAACAGCTAAGCAAATCAGCYAAGCAAATCGTACTATTTGATGTCACCCATGCTCTTCAAAAAACAAGGACTAGCACATCTGAAGGCACCTCCCAAACACTACTGTGTATTCTAGTCCTGGAAACCAAAACCACCAGCACAAGTATTTCACCACCTATCATTAGCAATTGCTCTTAGTTTCCCCATAATATATCCTGCATAAATTCAGCAAGGCAGCTCTAGCCACTGTCTACCTCTGATTTGTGTGACGTTCCCTGACAGCATGGGAACTAAGATACTGACAGTCCTGTGGAGCTTAGGCTCAGCCCATGCTTAATCCACTAGAGAGTAATAAACTTTAAACATTATTTGAATGGTTTTTTTGTTTGCTGTGGTATGTCTTTTATAGCCTATCAAGTGGCAGAAGGGCTTGCTTTGCACAGGAAGGATTTAGAGTAGCAGCTGTACGTAGTGCTTCCACATTCCCGCTGCCAGTGGCCGCACACATTCATTCCCTGTTTACATTTGGGTGTCATTTATATAAGAAATCAATCAACTCTTTTGGTAAAACATTCTGCACTCCCTCTGCTTTGAGTCTCATTTTTCCTCTTCCACCTTTCATGCCTCCCCCTCCAAGTTTCTTCAAAGCATCTGTGAGCATTTGGAAGTAATTAGACCTGAAGGGAGACAATGACAAGTGCCAGGAACCCAGGATGCCCTTTCTAGCCACTTTGAAGTTCATTCAGATGGTACAAAGCTCCGTTTTGCTTTGTTGGGAAAAAAAAAAAACAAACCTGAAGAGAATAAGGCATGACAGGCCTATTGAAAAGGGAGCAGGTTTCTGTGAACTGACAGACACACCGAGTGCCTGGGCAAGAAACTATCAAAGGTAATGACGACAAGGGCTCTCATGGCCACTCTGCTTTATTACATCTACAAATGGTGCAGATGCACACATAAGGCAGGGAGGAAACAAGTTAAATGGAAAACATGGTAATCCTGTACCATGGAATCCCAGCTTTCCATCGATCACTGATTCATGGAGACTTCAAATAAAACTCAGCACCACAACTGCCGTGGCACTACAGAGTTAAACTCCAGCATAAGGGCAATTCTAATCAAAATTCATCCCCCCACAACATCTGCAGGAGATACAGATACAGATCGAGCCTTTGCTGTAACTAATTACTGATGGTAATTACACACAGTGAAAATAAAATTAGAGCTTAGGGCAGAAACAAACTCAACAGGCATTCCATGAACAGACACACCTGTGTTCCTTGTTAACAAGATTCTGGCAACTGAACACAGTACAAGTGCAGCAGCCCAAGAGCTTCAYAGGAAAGGCTGATCTGAACTGGTTTAAGCAACTTAAGTGCTTCCTCTCCATTCATTTTCCAGCCATCTATGTCCAGAATTATCAGCAGCACGAACCCAAATCAGTAAGAAGCAGAGAGAAGTCGTGTTCTASACATAACTATCTGAGGTAAAGCTGAACCAGACTGTATCTTAGTGCTGTAACACAGGCAGCTAGGCTCAAGTCATCTTCTGAAGGTGGAACTGGAAGGATTTGAATTTCAAAATATGGGTAGTAACTAAGTCCTTTGCAGAAAGATATATAGGAATAATATCTAATTATTATCATTACCCCCTTAATTCTCTATTTTTATTATTTGCATGCAAGAAACCTTAAATTTAACCTCTAACCTTGTTTCTGTAGTCAGAAAGACCAAAAACAGTCCTTCCACTCCTCCACCAGGTGCAACTGGTATCTGAAATAGCAATTCTCTTTTTATAACTAATGTTCATACAGATTAGATCTCTCAGGGCCACCAAAACATTGTACAGGTTCTTAGTAAGTTCATGGAGAAAAGGACATAGCTGATAGTTCAGTCGTCCAGCAGCCATGCTTCATCTCTTTCCACCTACAAAACAAGCACAGGWCCATTAAAACACTTAACATGCAGTTGGCACTTACTCATTTCTCAATAAAATGATCTGGTGGCTGAGGGTTCGGTCACTGCTGTGCTCAGGCAGCTGTGGGGACCACAAGAGAGCACTTGGGGAGATGAAATGGAAAATCCATTTCAGAGCAGGGAACTTCATCCTCATGTTACTATATGCAAGCACAAGCTGACCCCTTAAACAATACCATCGATATCCAACATGTTYGGCAGAGATGAGGCTGCTTTTTGGGGCAGTTCAGAACGAGCAGAGCTCTCATTCACTGATACCTGGAAGCTTCAGCCATTTGGGTATTTTCCCCGGGGTCCTTCTTAACACTCGTGGAGTTCCCTCCATGCTGGCTGCTTCTGGCTGCTCAATGGTCTTTTTGTCACTTGTTACTTCTGGTTCAGATAGGGATGGAGCCACTGATGCTATAGTTGATGAAGCAGAAGGAACTAATGATCTAGACAAATATCTGAGGAAGATAATAAGCAGAATTAAGCTTCGTTTTTCATAATAGCCCCCTGTACCACCACCATCATGAAACTTTTAAAGTCATATTGAAAGGGCTTTTCTTTTTCCATGACAGAAGTACTAGTATTTACTGAAGTCACTGAAATCTTACTTTTTGTAAAGGACTCACAAAGCTTCTACAAAGTTGAGCATGACAGTATGACTGTTTCTGGAAAGAAGGAAGTCCTAGTATCTTTRAAGCACATTTCTTTGTATTAAGATGGGCTTGTTTCATGCTTCCCATTCCTGAAATACTAAGGCATTTGCAACTCTATTCAGCCCCAACATACCTGGCTACTAATAAATCAGCTGCAGAAGGAGAAACTGCAGATCTCAGCAGGTCTGATTTCAGGTAACAAGCTGTTTAGAAATGAAACCAAATCATTTGTTTGGGAACATAGAGACATCAATCTCCACAGTATCACATAGCTCTCAGGTGAAAAAATACTGCTATATACAATAGTAAACATACATCACCTTCCCCCAAATGACACCAGGACATTACCAAACAATGCTGTTTTCTTTCACAACTCAGAAGTGTCTTATTTAATCATTCAAACCTCAAGATCTTGACATTTTTTTTACAGTGCTCACTGCACCTCAGAAACTTTTCTGTGAAGCCAGAGCATACTCTGATGTCTGGTAGAAGCAGGGATTCTAAGCACAAACCAGAGATGTCAAAGAACCAAAGATTCAGATCTCTTCTACCATCTCCAGCCAGTGCACTACCACAAGAGCTCTGCAAGTGTTTCATAGTCATTTGTCTAGTTAACATTTTGAACAACAGGATTTCTTTTCTACAGAGTCATTCTTCTATCATTCYTGCTCCCATGCCAGACAATGCCTACTCCCCAGCCTATCAAATCCCAAAAAGAAGATAAAATGTCTACATTTGTGCTCAATTTAACTGACCAAACCAGCTCTGAAGAGCTTCAGCCAGTCAGAATGGGGACATTCAGCAGCATTCTCAAGGTCTGCAGATTCTTTTGTCAGAACAACTCTCACAGTAAGGATTTAATTCTAGGTCCGCTAAAGGAACTACACAATCAGCTGAAGGAGAGAGGAAATGCACTCACCCCTGCATTCCTCAGATCCAAAATGAATGACAGCAGTTGGAAAAAGTTTAGCCTGCAGAAAAAGGGGAAAATAAGCGATCACTGACTGCAGATGCTTTCATAGYTCACTGTGAACATTCGAGGCAGGTTGGACACCTACAGACAAATTCATGGAGTTCAAGCCAAGGTCACTGAACCATTTATAATTCAGGAGAACTTAAACTTGTGCAGAGCACAGTTTTACTTRGGTAAAACATGAAGGAAAATGTTATGATCTGTTTTACGGGTAATGAGGCCTCTGCAGCAATGCCCCACCATTCCTTCTCCTCTGTCCCCATATCCCAGGCCATTTTCTTGTACCCACATTCTCCACTGCTGAGCAGATAACATTAATAATGATGAAGAATCTTCTAAGACCTGAGTGGCTGACAGCAAGAGAAGAAAAATAYAGCTGTGCCCTCCGAAAATCTATTCTAAATCATTTTATTACATTTATACCCTTTCTATAGTTGGAATTTATCTAGTTTCACCACCTTTCCAGGATGAAGTATTTCCTTTTATAAATACAACCCGAATTCCTAGTTCCTACTTCTCAGACTAATTGCCATATTCAAACATTATTTTCTATCCAGCTGGTTTGGTCGTTGTTTTTTTCCTTTTATTTCATTAGAAGTTCCTGTAATTAGTGTCCATTTCCTCTTGGTCTTTTACATGGCACTGCTGAGRACTCTGGCCCACATCCCTTGCTGTTTCCCATCTCTTTTTCTACACACACTGACGAGCCCCCAGCAGTTTCTTTCTTCCAGGCTGAACAGGTATAAAGGAGGGAGRTACCTCTGGAGGTTGCTCTGGTGAGGTGACCACACACCCAGAAAAACCCAGAGAAACATCACAAGCACGACACCACCACACCCAGTGGTGCCTCCAAGTGCTCCCAAGGGAAACACAGAGCAAGGGAGTCAAAGTTATTAAACTTCATTCTAAAAACAGACACTACTGCAAGCTCAGGCTTGGATTTTTWAAAGGATTTTAAGGTGATATGCGGAAGATTAATAGATATATGCCAACTGGCATAACCAGCTGGACCAGAAAGGATTCTGAAAAAAAACCAACCATCATATTTATTATCTGCATTATATGATAGTGTAAAACCATATAAAGAATCACTAGCTGAAACAATTCTGTTTAGCTTTTAGGAAGATTGGTACTAACAGGTAAAGAAACCAAATCAGCATCATGTATAAGARGCAAGTACTGCTAGAGCCAGAAACTGTACTGCAAAGCCAGCAAATGTAATCAATGTTCTACATTTTCCCTGGCAAAATAGTTACACTAAACTTGGCACACTGATCCCAAAAATAAATAACCAGATAAAAGCAAGTCASTGCCCCACTTGGTATCACTCATGCATATTTGGGAATTGTACCAGGGCAGACTGAGTGTCCTGGAGTTTTCCTGAGCCTCTGTTGCCACCATCAGCCCAGTCTGTGCACTGGAATGATCATCTCTGGCCCCAGCACAGCAATTACAGGAACTCAACAGAACCCTGATCTGCACAGAGGAGGCTGGAGACAGCTGCCTAAGATGGASACTAATAAAACTGTATCAACTAAAGGCAAAAAAAAAAAAAAATAGCTTCACTGCTCTTCCTGCCTACAAGCTTCAGATGAGCATATGGTACAATAATCCAGAGGCTATAAGAGACTGTCTCATATGGCATAGTCAACATCATGCTAGACTGAAACAAGAGATATTCATCACTCTACTTCMAGACTCAGGTCCTGCTAAAGCATCCAGGCAAATTCACATGCCTGAACTGACATTTTAGCAAAGTAATTATTTATTAGGTCTTTTAATGTTTCATTCCTCAATCAACAGGGCCTAAGGTTGCCTGCTCCAGTCACAAAGATAGCTCTCCATAAACATTTTTAATTAAAAAGTACCAGACATGGTTTAGAAACCCCAGAGAAAACTCTCACAAGAGCTTTGATGTTTCCACAGCATTCGTCTATTTAGGAAATGGGTGCCTTAAGAAGGGCCCCCCAACATACATACACTCAAGCCCTTTTACACACAACATCCTTTGCATGCCAGCTGCAAGTTGGAAAATGAGGTTTTTGTAGTGTTAGTGTTGGAATTTTTTAATAACCACCCCTCTCTTTTTTTCGCCTCCCGACCAATTATCTTGGTAAATAATTAACATTCTGAAGGAGATAAGTAAGCACAGCAACTCAGAGCTCAAAGCCCTTTAGTTCAAAGCCCTGCCCTTTTCGTTTCCCCGCTGCCGCCACTGAAACTTCCTTGTCAATCAAGCTCTGGGCACACACATCAAAGCCTCGTGTGGGAATGGCCCCAAGGGGTCAGAGAAAATTCATGGCAGGGCCTGTGTGAGGCACAAAGAGAGAAACAGAGTGAGAAACACAGCCCAAGAGCTAACAGACTCACTCAACCAACAAACACACAGACAGACTGTGCCCCAGTAGAAACCTCTACCCTATTTACTCAAAYAGCCATAGTTCTCAGTTTCAGGATACACGTCCACAACCATTTCCCACTGCTTGGCAAAACATCAGTCCAAACATTTCAGTTCAAAATCTTAATTGAAAGAAACTTAAAGGAGCTAAAGAGCAGCCCTCAAGTACACAGAATGCAACGTCCTTCCCATGGCTCCTTTCCCTGCATCCCTATCCTTTCCTAGGGGTCAGCCAACACARAGCCCCCTCTTGCCAAACTTCCAACCAATTTTTCTCCAATTCAAACAGACTGCTGGCTCATGCCCAGAACCCTTGGTCTGGATTCCTTTGTGTRGAATTGTCAAGTACCACCCCAAGCCCAGCACTCCCTGAGGGTTCACCACACTTCTCACCCAGGAATTCTCTAGCCAGTCACTGGCAGGACACAATGCTGTCCCAGAGCTCTTTAGAATCTGAAAGTATTTAAATCAGCAGCAATTTCACATTGAAAACTAAAGGCAAGCCAGTAGAATGATCCCACTGTCCAAAGACTGTCTTGGCATAAAGAGGAGAAGGCTTTAGTAGATTCTGTCTGGGAAAACATGCAAGTCCAAAGGCAAAGCCTTTAGCATTCTCTAMCACACCTAAGAATGAAAGGATCAAACACTGGGCAGACCATCCCCTGAAAACTGTATTGYCAAGTCACCTATTCTAATGTTTGCAGTCGTTCTAATGCATCTGCTAATGCTACCAGATGAACAACTCTGCAGTTCTTCACCTCACTGCATAGGGTTCTTACAAGAACATCTGTGAATCAAAACACATTTTAAGTACTCTTAGAATCACACTGAGCCTGCCAGATTGACCAAAAGAATCAAAGGCTGTTTGAAACAAGTAAGTCAAAAAGCTCCACTCACTTACATGCAGAGAATTACTACAATAGGACTGAGCCAATAGCCAGTTATTACACCCCAACACCCAGCATTTCTMTTCCTTGCTGCTTTGGTTTCCAGCCAAAGAAACTGCCATTCTGACTGGGGAAATAGACACTATTAATTTCTTGAATTTATAATGTTCAAATCACACTGTGCAAAGCATATTTACAACATACAGTCAGATTTACTGCACCAACACCTAGAAATCCAACTGAAAACAGTGTCTCATTGTGCAATTATACAGATGTGACGTAAATAAAAATACTTTTGAGTTTGTGGGTTGTTTTTATTTTTGTGGGTTTCCTTTTTGTGTTTTAGTTTTTTTGGGGCTTTTCTTTGCTGCACAGATGAAAAACTGAGACCTAAAGAGATTAACTAACTTACTCAAGGTCACACAGGATGGCAGCAGCAGAAATAAGAACTAAGAATGCAAGTCTCCAGAGCCCCATCCAAGACCATAATCACAGGACAGTTTTCTTCTGAAGGATTAGAAAGTCACTGAGGCAAGGAGAAAAGGAAGTCAGTGTCCTGCCTATTGCCCTCCTCATTTAATAACTATCATTCCAAGTAACCAGCTCCTCAGATTTGCAGAAGATATAACACAGCTCCATCCATTTGCTTAGTTAGAGTTCCAGAAGTTTCTATTTCAGAGCTCTGAATACCAGCTAGTTACTCATAACGACACATTTAGTCTGCAACTATGCAGTTGAGTAACTCTGGTTTTACTCAGAGATAGTGAACAGTTACTCAGACACTGTGGTGGTGACTGTGGCTGTGACAGCACATCATCTTGGCTGTGGGGTGGCACACTGAGGCCGCTGCATCTCACATTCCATGACAAAAATATCCACATTAGAACAACAGTCCCTTGTGAATCCAGCTGTGATACAGCAGAGAAACATTTCTGTTTTGTTTTACTGCATGTTTTAGTAACTTGTTCTCTAGAACACAGAAAATAGCCCAGGCAGAACCCTCCCCAAATAACACCTCAACACTTCCAGTTTCCCAGACATACTAAATGCAAAGAAGTCCTAGAACAGAGCATTGCAGATGATGTACATCACTAAGAGAGTTGTTCTCTTCCCTGCCAGAGCGATGCTGGCAGACAGGCAGGGGCTGCTGTTGAAGGGAATTYGCAGCTGCCAGAAGCAGCAGCATTCTTTCCGTTCCACAATCGGAGAAGATCAGAGTGCCACAGGTCTGCTGTTAGTTTGATGTTAGAAGATGAATAAAAAAATAAGCACTTCAAAGGAACACGCTCATGGAAGGAGAAACCCGAGCAAGCAACATGAAACACTGCGTAGTACACACATCCCAAACACATAAACTAGCTCTTGGAAAATTCAACTGCAAAGCCGGTGGATCAAAAGTTTCTCCAGCAAGACTGCACAGCATTGCTGAAACAGAAATAAACACCACAGTCATGGTGAAGGGGGCAGATCAAGTACTTCATGTTTACAACCTGAGAACAAAGCTGCCCAATGTGAACTGCCACTGCCAAAGGAGATGGATTTTCTCCATGGAGGAGGTCTGAGCCAGATAGGGCAGGGGAYCTTTAAAATTCATAAGGCAAAGACAAGATTTGAAAACACTGTTCTGAGAAAGCTACTTATGAAGGAATCCAGGTATGAAGAGCATTCACAGGGACCTTAATGGCTGAGATCAGAAAGATCTGGCCTTCAAAA